GAATTGGAACAAGGAACCGAAAATGAGGAATAACAGCGGGCAGGGAATTGAACAAGGAACCGAAAATGAGGAATAATTGGCATTTTCCGAAACCACGTGAAATATTGAAATCATATTTCACGCAGACATAACATTTTAGCGTTTGATAATAGTCTACGCATAAACGGGTTTTACTGTTTTCTGTCTTCATCAGTCATAAGGAGTTGTGTATTTTTAGAATTTTGGGTAATGGCGAGCCGTTAGTGATTAGAACTGTTCTGCTTCGGCTTCCGCAATGCCCACTTCAAAAGGCCATAAAAGAATGACCTCAGGCACGTACCTGTATTTCATGATTAAAGCATCCACTGGTCTTCTTGGTTAGTCCAATAGAGTTGACCGCTTCTCTGACAAAGTTATCGGGTGTAACCACAAAAGTTGAACCTCTCTGAAAGTAATTCTATCAGTAAAATTCCCTTTATACATTTTATTCTCTAGAAAGGTTGTCCCAATTACTGAAGCAACATCTGAGGCGGTTATCGGTTTCAATGGATCTCGTCAACGAATCAGCAAAACGACCAGAAACAGGGTCGACTGCGATGCGTATCTCGTAAACGGACGCGTTTACTACGAACCGAACATCACGATAAGGATCATCTCCTGTGTTTATCCTGATCCATCCGTGGGATCCAATCAACCTTAATAGCACAAACCTCATAGTACACCATTTTTGTGGCGACCAACGCTGGAGTAAGACATTGAACCGAGATCGTTGGATGTTCCCGATCGATGGTCTCGCTCAGGAACAGCAGCATTGACTGAAATGTCATCATTTAATTTCATTTTCTACCGGCTCATGTAGTTAAAATGTCTCAAATCAACATCTTCGAAAAAAGAATATTAGCTTTGAATTGAAAGAAAATCTAGGATGAGAGGATCCGAGAGGGTGTAGCTTAATTTCAAAAGAGCAAGTGTCGTAAGGGCAACAATGAAAAGGGTACGGCCAAAAATCGCGCCAAGGACGGCTCCACTTTTACAATTAATTTTTACCGTTGTGCTAGCTTACAACTACCAGGTCTTTCAGGTGTCCCGCTTTTCCTAAAGGGTTTTGCTTGTATAAGGAAAGACACAAACACGGAACGTAGAATTATGCTTCATTTTTCCTGAGCGGCCCCAACCCCTAAAAAGGAACTGACGATTAGTCCACTTTCGATACACCGCGGAGAAGAAGTTTTGCATTTACCATTGGCGCTTTTACGATGTTGCAAAATGGTACCCGAGGTATGGATGCCGTATTTCCACAGGGAGCATAAGCAATTCATATGAGTAAGTTTTAACCAGAAACTGCTGTCAAAAAGGTGTAAACCTTGTTCTTTTTCGACCCCTTTGGCATTCAAAGGGCTGCTCAAAAGGAAATGAACCCGTTTGAAAAAAGTGGGGCACGAATTGGAAGAACCTCTCGGTAAGGAAGTTGGCATTCGAGCGAAAGATATAAAGACAAACATAAGACAGAAACAACAGTACACACACTAGGAAGATGATAGAAGCTAGCTCGATGCCAATAGGTAACACCTGGAGCAAATTAGGTACAATAAGGGTTCCCAGGCTTGCGATACAAGGCCCATGCGAGCATGTCACTTCTGTGCGGTAAACCTGGCAGAACGTCTCTGTGCAGTTGCGGGCTTATATACGGGCTCCCTTACTTACAAGGGGGATTTTTCATAGTGAAGGTTGGAGGTGTCTCTAAGCAACTTTACGAAGGCCAAGCTTGGATCAACTGTGGAAGAACAGGCTGCAATTTAGGGCTAAAGAAGGACGGCCTCCTTAGCCTCCATTCAGGCACTGTTTTCTTTAAGGGAGTATGTTAACAATACGATAGTTTTAGTCCGACGGGGTGCACATCTGACCTCTTTCAAATCACAAAACTGGACCTGGTCAAATTTTGTTCGAAATCCTTCCAACCCAACCCTAAGCCAAGCTTTTTATCCACCTGAGATAGACCGATTGGTACAAGACTCGGAGATAAAATGGATAACGGTACTTCGTTGTTTGGACCAAATTTCTTTCAAATGTCACCCTCAGCTGTCCGGTAAAAATGAATGGGTTGGCTTTTCCAAAAAGGGGTTCATCAACTTTTTGCTGACGACATTCGTGGGATTTCTCGTAAATCCTTTCTTTCTACGCTCGGCCTTCTTTTATGGCTTCAACTGGTTTCATTGTCTGTTGCGGTCTGTTGAAACAGCTAAATTGATTCGTTCGATTGCTCCAGAACCAGTACTATTAAAAAACTTATCCAGGCAAACTATGGGACAACTTCTTTACGATGTTAACAACAATTTGCTAGGACGCCGTAGCGAAACTCAAATTGAAACAGCAAGCAGGCAAGGAACATGCCCAGATGGTCCAATTCATCTGACCGCAATGGAATACTAGCCTGGTAACCGGTTTGGTGAAGTTCCGAGAGCGCCCGCTTTTTGCTTGATCCTGTTATAGCGGTCACTGTTCATTATATCAGAACGTATGAGGATCCCTAACAGAATTCTAGTTTCCCCTCCTCTTTCGGTCTCGTTGGGATCCACAAATGTGAGAAATTATTCGTAAAGGAGGAAGTACGTAGAACTTTTGCGAAAAAAGTCTGGACGCACTACAAACATATAGTCAATGGGAAGTCACCAGGATTTCGGCGATTTCTAAAGGACGTCTTTTTTCAAAGACAACGATTGTCGAGATTCACTTAAAAGATTGACAAGACAACTGGGTTTCTCAGCTTGGTGAAAATTAACACTACTAAAAAGTGGTGCTGCAGAAGCAACATGCTAGTATGCTCGCAATGAAGTCTGCTTTGACAACAAGGATTAAAAAAAAGATAAAGAATCCGGTGCTGATCAATCCCATCTTCAGATGCGCCACGCATTCTATTCATCAGAATCTAGCGCACTACGCGAAATGCGATTTGGGCATGCATGACTTGCGGATGGCCAGGCATACAAACCACATACATGTTTTTTAATCCTCCTGGACAGGTCTGCCACCAATTAATCGACCCGGAGGATGGATGGAATTTTTGATTGGCCCGAACGAACCGAAAAAACCGAACCCACGACCGAGGATTTCATTCGCAGCCGCGCGCGGGGTAAGCAGTGCCGCTTGCTACTACGCCACCTCCGCCAGCCTTGAACATCTTTAATAAGGAAACGAGGTTTGCTGTTAGATGAGTGAGCAGCTTCTCCTAGTAGTATGGTAATACGATCAAATCTTGGAACGCATGTGGTCCGCTCCTAACTTAGCCCTCCATCCCTCTGAGGAAGCTTACATCTTCTTTTATTGGCTAGTTTATTGGAGTCAAATTAGCTCTCCACATCACGCCATGTGAGGGGATCCAAGGAAAGAAGTATGGCCGATAAGAAACCTACTGAAAGCCAACAAATGCGGTATGCAAATTAAGTGCTTTTTGGAGCTACCTGAATCCACCCATATCCCCAGAAAGTTTGAAAAATCTAGTCACTGTATTTCGCAAATTTTAGTCACAAGGTGTATCCCGCATTCCGAAATAGTCAGCCGTTAAGTTATGATTGGTTCAATCGACTCCCAATTGTGCGCAGTCCCCTACACAAAAGACATTTTCTCGTGGAACTTGAAAAGACTTTAGAAGGTCATGGGACGGAAAGAGCCCTTCGAACCCTTGAAATCAAAGCTGCTACTCAAAAACAAATCTGGTAGTGAAAATGGAGTTTTTTCAACGCTACCTTGGCAGCCGAGTAAGCCGCTAGAAGTGGAATAGGTCTGATCCCTTGAGACGATGAGAGCACGACAATCTGACCTCCACCGCATCTTTCCATTGGCGGCAGAACCATTGAGAGGAACTGAAACGAACCAGGTCAACCGAATAATTCAGCCGATCGTAATAATTCATGAGGAGGACAATCAATGGTCCATGGCGGTGCGAACTTTTTTCATCACGCACCTCGGCTGCTCCAAGGGCATTCACTTTGAGAATTTGTCGATCGGCCTCTGGGTTGTCACCGTAGCGCTCCAGATTTTCTCTTCCCACACCAACGCTGTTCACTTGAAAAAAAGGACATTTGAGTCGCAGAAATAGGGCTGGCAATTTACTGTGTGTATTTCTTACCAACGAAACCGATATCGATCTCTGAAATATACTCTCGGAAGCTGTTCGAAGTCATCCTTGCTGAAATCGAAGAGATACGTCTTGACACGGCATCCGTATGTCAGCTCTGAAATGTGAGAACGAATGAATGAATGAAGAAATGTGAGAATTGATCTTGCATCGATCAGTTGAACACTACGAAGAAGAGAAAATTATCACAAGGACGCAGGGTGGCAAAATATTCGCCCTTGGAGAGGACTCGAACTCCTAGCCAACAAAAGAGTAGGTATATTCTGCCTATCTTTCAATTTGAAAGAGCGCAGCGCAGTATGGGACTCATTGCTGTACCCAAATTTCCACATAATTATGATTCCTCATTGGGAATGAATGCCCTGACTTCCTCGAACATAACCCCCTTATACCCAACAAAAAATACAAAATGGTGGCACACTTGTACGGAAAGCAGAGGCACGATCGATTAAGAAGACCTAAAGACCCACCCGCCCTTCCACCCTGATCATTTATTAATTATTCTTACACTCAGTAGTGTGCTACAATAGGGCAGGACAGCGGTGTTAGTAAGGTAGAGGTCCTGACAAGAAACAAACAAATGGACAGCTATACTCGTGTAAGAGAAGAAAAGGAAAACAAAACGAATCGTGCTCCTAGCTCACAGCCTTCTGGATACCAAAAATGATCCCAGGACTCTACGCAGTACTATCAGCTGTCCACACTGTGCTGAGGGGCTAACGTAAGCAGTTAGGATCTACGGATCGTTGTTAAACTAAAATCTGTATGACGACCACAGAAGTGCAGGCAGTTAGGCCTTTCCTTGAATACGACATGCTCTTTAGGCGTATCTCACAGGTTCTCCAAGCTACTGATAAGGGTGGGTAGGAAAAATTTAAAAAATCAAAGTGCAAGGGACAATATGCTCATCATGGTACATAGGTCGTTGTTGGTCCGGTTCTGCCACAAGGTTGTCAGGTGGCATATTTATTTCGGTCAACCGTTCGACCTTTGTGTTGTTGTCGCTGCTGACGCACTTAAAGAGTTTATAGCGCTCCGCGCTACAGTGAAGGGTAACGATGGGATTTCATCACGAGGCCAAAACGTTGAACGGACAATGAGTCCCACGAAACGAAAGTTTAACACATTCACGATGGCGCCCTTTTTCGCCTTTTGGTCGCGTGAGACACACTGTCTTACCTCGGATTTGTTCATTTTGTAGGAATGAACAGAACAGAGTGCACAAACTCATATGAGCACTTCTCATACAGTAAAAGTTTGGCAGGTTATCGAGAAGAATTTGTCAAACGTGTAAACTGAAAGCAAAATTTATCAGCTTTTTCTGGAATTTGCTTTAAAAGCCGCGGATATTTCTTTACACCGATTTTGAATTTTCTTCCAGTGCCCTTTTCGTTTACGAATTCCTGACATAAAAGGAAAAAAGAGCCAGCGAAAGTTCCATTCACGTGTGCACGGTAGTAAAAAGAAAAAGAGAGAATTAGCAAACTAAAAATTTTGTGGCTAGGAAACAGTTCATAAAGTGAAACATATTCGGCATTTCAGCCAATGGCGTCATTGTTGAATATATATTGGACCCAAACTATTCCAACTCAATCTCAAAAAATCCGAAAAAAAACCTTTGATCCTTTGGCAATCATTACACTGTCCGGCCTCAATGGGCTCAGCTTCCTCTGGGACAAAAGCCCAACATCCCATATCCCACATCTTCGCGAATGTCCGGATGTAAAGACGAATGTAAGGACGTTATCGTTTCGAAATGACGCTAGTGAAATGGAACCCCTCAAAAAGCGGGCAGGGACGAAATGAGTCTCCACAATAATTGCGTCACGTAAGGGGCCGTGTCTCTAATCTTTTAACAAAAATCTGTGGCCAATCACATCGCCAACGAGGAGTACAAGGTTTGGCCATCACTAGGTTTCACTTTTCTTTTCAACCGTACTTTGCGGGGTTTCGCTCTGGAAACCACTCGAGCGCAAGGTGACGCTTTTTGTCACCCTGTTGAGCCCGTCTCGAAAAAGTTTTCGAGCCGAAAAAATAAATTTAATAGGCGTTCAATGTTCTCTACATCTTAGGAGAATTCACGTGTACCGGATAACTTGCGCTTTTTCTGCTATCACAAACGTGTTCCCTGAAGGACGCTCTCGAATAAACAACAGTTTTTCACCTTATTGTTCGATAGATGCCGTAAACTACACGGAAACGATTTCTCACCGTCGATTGAGCATCAGAAATCATCCAAAGGAGTCACGAAACCTACTTTGCTGGCGGTATAGATTTTTTCCAGCCACCCACTGAAGAACTCCCAAAAGTTACTCGCTTACCTAGAAGTGTTTTCATATCGCTCAGTTTTGTCTGATTTCGTCCGATGAGCACAAATTTGCTCAATCCTCTCTTTGCCAACTCGATCGTATACGCTTTTCCAATGCCATCGGTTCCTCCAGTCACCACTGAAATTTAATTGAATTATGGACTGATCCCCTGTCATTTTGGCAAGGGGGATACTGTAACTGCTCACTGCCTATCTAAGGACATATGCGAAAAGGAGAGTGGTCTACTACTGCCTACTCCTTTCATCACCCCTCCCCCATAATAACACAGAAAATTCAAGGAATAATCGGCGCTATCGCAACATGCGGGGGCATTGTGCTGGCAACGCATTCGAGATCGCGCAAAACTTTCCTTTTTGTTAAAATGGTACTAAGCCTTGAGCAGGGGAGGAGAGACTCCAGAGTGCGTGAGCGATTTTCATTCCCCCGTGAAGTTCCTGCCCCTCCTAGGCTTATGGTTAGTCCTAGAGGATAGCCCCGTATGCTGCGATGGCGCCAAACAATCTTTAACGTCTGAATAATAAGAAAGCTGTTTCACCAATAAAACAACTACATTGTCATTTTGAGCCGATTTCTGCTCATTTAAAACGTAACAACACAATCGTCACGGTATGATAAATTTTCCACGGAAAACTGCAATTATTCTAGAACTGGTTATCGAAAGCAAAAACAGCATTGTGTTACCACTAAAGTGTTGATTCGCCTTTCAAATTCTCCCATTTGAGTACCTAAGTAGGAACTAAAGAGAGTACGTACCTGTCCATCGATTCACGTATTGGACAAGGTTGGGCTTGTAGAACAACGGCGCTAATCACGTAGATGAAAATCGCCTTGACCAGGGCCGCGATCGTCCTGAACCAGTTTTTCAAATAGTCGCAATTTTTTCAGAAAATATGTGGCGAATGACTTGGGGGGTAGGACGGAGACGAAAGGACAGCGGGCGGCCTTCGTTTACCTGCAGATTCTGTATCCAACATAGACGAACGGGATGACGGCTAGCATGATGAGCGGCCGCTGCAGACTGTCCACGAAAGGGGTGGAGTCGAATGATGCTGTTGGAACTGGTGCCATCTGAAGAACAGTATGCAGATTACACTTGCGATAGAACGACTATGATCGCGTACGCGACGAGATTAACACCAAAGGGTCAGCAAGTTTCGGTCATTTCAGATCTTCCGGTTATTCATACTAAATCCAGCGCGTAATTACGGCGAAATTGCAACGGCGACGGGTGCAGAAGCACGAAAGAAACTCAAAGCGTGTAACTGCAGTTGAGAAGCGTTGCTATGGGGAAACAATGTGCTTCAGAAAGCTTAGGGGACAGATTTCATGGCAGGGGCTACTATAGAAGACAACGAACAAGCTGTTCAGCTGGAGCTGAAAGAGCAGAAGAGGGTGATGGAAACTTCAATCTCGAAATTCAACCACTATACAGCGCCTCCCTTCTGGAGGTGGGGGGGGGGTATAGGGTGTGTGGAAAGAAAAAGAGAAATCCGACGTACTCCCGACGGCTCGCAAGGTGTAATATCCTCGCTTTTTTGAATGGTATTTATGCCATTTTGAAAGTGCAGAACGTGTACATTTGTTACACAGTGGTCGGACGTCACGGTTGAAAGTCCATCTGAGGTCATTGGGCCACAGACTGTCTACTTTACTACCTTTTTTAAAAATACCATGTCATCATGCCTGGCCATCGATCTTTGTACTGTTTTTGATTTAGTATATGAAAAGATCGTCTGAATGGCAAAGAACGATGAAACTACAATGTTGTTGCTCCCAGGTGTGCGGGGCGAGGCATCCCTTCTGATAATATTTAAAAGTTTTCAGAATTCGCAAGCCTCTCCATTTTCCCCATGTCTCACTTTTGTTCGAATGTCTGCTGACAGCATCTCAGCACAGGAGAGAGGATGGATTTCAATTCATGAAACCCTTTTTTGACAATGGAACGAACATTCATTGAATACTCTTCCTAAGATCGCAGATTGAAAGTGCTCTTTCTGAAGCCTGCATTCATTTGACAGAATGCTGCCGTCAAAGTCCGTATGGTGCATCACTTTCAATTTTTATTTGCAAAGTTCCTGACCAACAAAGCGATGCAAAAGCCTGTGACGGGGGGAAGGGGCAGGAACTACTAGAGAGAAAACAATTTTTTCGTCGTACAGAGGCTGCTGTTGTTGAGCCTTACGGAGAAA